GCCACTGCACCTCCCCAAACGTTGAAGCTAACCACCATCTTAATTACACAGAAGCGTGGTGGGAGCCCAGAGAAGACTCCCTTATAGAGACGACGGGGGTGCTCGTCGTACCTCTTAGGGGCTAAAAAAGCGGTTTTGATACCTCTTACGGTGTTCAGCCTCAAAAGGTCCACAGCGGGAGCTTCTGAGTTACTTTTTAGAGTATTGAGCCGAAGAAAATATGACAGGAGATTATGTGTTGTTTTAGAATTGGTACCTCTTAGGGGTGAAAAATCTTCAAGCCACACCGACAAAACAGCATACTGGTTAGTCTCCTTCGCAGCCGTTATTAGGGTCGTCACGCAACGCTCCTCCCCACTAACGGCCGTTAGTGGGGAGGAGAGTTGCGTGACGACCCTAATAACGGCTGCGAAGGAGACTACATACTGGTACCTCTCAGGGTTTCTTTTCAAAATTTCCGATGAGTAACCCCGTCCTTTTTATATGGGAGTAATTCTTCGGGGGTGGGGCTAGTCTACCTGTGAATCGAGTACAGTATGGCAGTAGCGAAGATGGACTTTCTCTTTAAAGGGAGCAACTACAAACAACCCACTTACTAAACTGTTTGATTTTTCGTACAGCGTTTATGAACTGCATCTTGTTAGAGTACTGATTGAGCTTGATATCAAGATTAGCATTGGTGCTGTAAGATATTACTGCCATCTGCATCCCGTTCGGACCAAAGTTAGTGAAGCCGTTTGCCAGATCTTTGATGAATTGTTTTTCTTCCTCGAAATCTTTATCTTTGATGCTACCTGATTCGTCCATTAAGATACCCAGTTCACCCTTACAACCTGTAAACAATCAAACCAAAACGCCATGCTTAAACGCTTTTAACTAAACTCGCTCTTTCACATTTTAATGACTACTTATTCTTTGCCATACTTTGAAAATGAGCGTGTTTTGGAATAGATTATAAACTTAGGTCGGTACATAGTTAATCCTAACTGTAGCAACTGGAGGATCGAAATGCACCAATCACATCCCACCTTCGAGATACTGGATGAAGACTAGCAGGGAAGATATGAAAGTCATGTTCATGGAACACATAATTATAAACCCAGGCATCATTATAGATCGTTAGTTACTTACAAGAGACATAGAGAGATTGTACGTCCGGTTTGGGACACGTTGACTGCAGTCCATTGCAGTTGGGTCGATTGATGATAGATTGCGTGACCTTGCTGGTACGCTGGCGTGTCATTTTTCCACAGGTAGAAGACCAACTGCCCCATGAGTTCCAGGAACACGTGACAATGACACAAGGACCTGCCAAGTGCGTCCAATCAAATGTCGAGTATTAATTCGGTTTTAGTGTGAAGGGCTAAGAGTATAGTTTCGTTCTCATCGCTGTCCAGTTCATGGAAATTATTGTCAGTGAGCTGCCACAATGGAATTCTTATTTTCAATTGAGTGGTTAAGGTAAGCCTCTTTCATATACTTTTTCTCGGGGTTGGGGGCAGAAACTCGGAATTAACGACGGTGTAAACTCGGGCGAAGAAGAATAAGGGGGAAGGAAGCAAGATTCCCACGGTGGCAGAAACCAGAAGAAATAGAAACAACTTCGTAACTTTAAGTAATATTTTACAGAGAGGAGCGAGAGCTGGGAGTAGTAAGGAACAGGAAGTGTTAAGCCACCAACTATCTTAATCTGATACAACGTACAGTATTTATCAACTGTGTTATTAGCTTAACATGAATTAGTTTCAACGTTTTAGTACGTTCGTTGCTGGGTAGAAAATGAGAAGGTGATGTTGAAAAACTTGTTTTATGTTACCTCGAGCCACTCGAATAAGGGCAAAAATGCTAAAATGAACTCACAGTTTGTCGTTTTAGTTTCAGTCTCCTGTGCGTCGCACGTGACTTTGAGTCCAGAGCAGCCTCCCTGCCGTTTAATGAAATGTTCGTTGACCTTGGACAATCCCCGGGTACGTTTCATTGCGACTCCGCATGAAGCTGACCATGAACTCCACTGGTTATAGTCACAAGTCACATAACGGCAATTATACGCTGTGAAATAAAAGAGTGTCTCAATGGGTTAAACCGTTAGCCGTAGAGCAATCTAAAGAGTGTTCTCCGTAAAAAAAAAATAGCCGCGAAAGTGAAAGTCTGAAGATCACTTGTCAAGAACTTTTTGTGTCTTGTCTAGTGGCTTGGTAGTACATGGAAAAGACGGCAAGAACTTTATGGTAGGACACATATGGTCGCCGGCTTCCTCTTCGCCACAGAAATGCTAACTACAAACAGTAGTAAATAAAAGCAAACCGCAGGGCGACTACATGGGTGGCCTACCATGAATTATATGTTGAAAAGCTGGGAGACTTAATATTCTCATAATACGGTAATCAAAATAAAGTTTCAACTTTTTAAAACAATGGTAATAGACCAATTTCGATATATTAAAATTCAGCCTAAAACAATAGAACTCAGTACGAGGCTCCGGGGAATAACTACAGAGTCTGTGGGGTTAATTTATTCCCCGGAGCCTCGAGCTGAGGTCTATTGTTTTAGGCTAAATTTTAATATATCGAAATTGGTCTATTAATTTCTAAGGTTTCTGTTAACCGTAAGGAATATAAATTAACCGTTAAGGTGGATTTCTACTGTCGCGTAATTCTCTACGCACGTTGACGTACGTGAAAATTTTCAACGGACTTAACACTCAAGGCAATTTTACGTGCGAACTTACGTGCGTTGCTCGGTACGTTTTCCAATTTCCAGCGCCGCGTTTTTTTCAAGAAATTTGCGTACGTTAACCGTACGTAGACGCATGTAGAGATCGCGAGCTTCTTTCAAAAAGTTAAACTCAGTTCAACTTTTCCGCGTTCGTCTGCGTTTACGCAACGGTTCAACCAATGGCATTCTTGGATTTTTTCACGTGACACAGTTCCTGCATATGGACGCCATTTTGTTTTTTGTTTTATTCAGTCACTGGCAATCAATCAATCAATCAATCAATCAATCAATCAATCAATCAATCAATCAATCAATCAGTGAGTCAGTCTGCAATTAATCAGTCGGTCAATCAATTAATTAATCAGTCAGTCAGTAGACCAACTAACCAACCAACCAAACACACAAATTAATAATCAGTCAATCAATTAGTCAGTTATTATTATTAATCAATCAATCAATCAATCAACCAACAATCAATCAATCAATCAAGCAAGCAAGCAATTAAGCAAGTAAGCGAGCAATAAAAATACACTCTTCTACAAGTCTTAACAAAACTTACTCGAACACGACGATGAAGTGATAGAGCCAATCAGAGCCCTTAACTGATCCATATTATTGACTGAGAACACGTGCGTGTTAGCAGGGGAGGAAGCCATGAAGTTCAATTCGTGTTTGTTTGTTTTATGACCCACGCCAATAGAAATGATGTTCACTCTAGATTCTTTCAGCCTCTTGATCGGGTCCATCAAAGTCTTCATTCCTCCTGTGCTTTCTCCGTCTGTGATAATAACTAATACCTGGAGTTGAAAAAGAAATAAGTATAACTATTACATCTGATTTAAAGCAGTTACAAACACTAGAATGAAGGTGTTACCTTGGCAACATTTGCACGTGCACCTTTGCCAGAACTAAACAGTTGAGAGTAAGCCAGCTTCAATGCGGTTCCAGTATGGGTCCATCCACCTACAAACCATAAGACACTTAGATCTTTTAATTAAAAGATCGAAGTTAAGTAGTGTTAAAATTCTCCTTGCTAGTATTCATATTTTTCTCTTAATGCTGATTTGGAGAACTTAGGGTCACATCTCAGAACATCTCATAACTATTTGGTGATTTTCGTTTTTCAGGAAATTATTAGATTATAACCTAGAAATCCAAGAGTTAAAGTTGAAAAACGAGGAAGAAAAATAAGGAAGGAAACAAAATAGAATCAAGTTTCTGGTAACAGACTACTCACATTTACTTGCTTATCAATTAGTTTTCTTTTCTAATGCAGTGTCGGTCATACACAATACGCACTTGACTCCTTTTGCCATTATCAAGAAAAGGGTTGAAATTACAAAGTTACAATTGTAGAGATGGGCCTCTTTAAGTACAAATAGTTCCTTTAACACTGTTATACCGTGATATCGTATTGCACTGACTCCGCGTTGAAAGGAAGCAAGATCGCGGTATCGATTGAGAGCGATATCCAGCTGTGATCCTGTGCTGTAGGTGACGACGCCAAACTGCGCGGCACTGGGACCGAACTGGAAATGACCAGCCAAGGCCTTGACAAAGTTCTTCTCTTTCTCAAATTCTTTATTATGGACGCTGCCAGACTCGTCCATTAATATACCCACGTCAACCTTGCAAACTGCAAAGGATTCATCTCAGTTAACTGCAGAGTAAGCTGACTCTTTTGCCGTATCATCAGTAAATTAAGTAAATGTTTTTGATATATCAAAAACCAGAGACCATGTATTACCACATTCCAAACAAAGAAAAGAGAGCTGAACATACGACGCGGAGCGGAGCATTTTTGACGAGCTTCGAGATGTTTGGAAATGTCGTAAAACTCTTTTAATTCTTGAGTGTTTGGTATATCTTCACGATCGAAATTAATACTAAGGAGTTTATAGAGAAATAAAATCGTGAACATCAAGGATGCGGTTTTGACTCCCTTTGAGGAAACATGCTGAGTTACTCATAGATTTACATTTGACAAACAAGTTTATCTCACATCAACTTCAAGAAATTGCGGCTTCAGTTTGAATGCTCATTTTGAATGCTCATTTTGACGGAATCAGTTACTAAAGTTATGTCCAAGACCATTTTCGTATTCTCGACATTGAACTGGAACTGGCTTGCAACTGAGACCAATGCGGGGAGTCTTTTCCAATGCAAATCAAATTTATCTCCTTTATTCCCCGGCATCAGACTCCACTGCAAGCTAGTTCCAGTCCAATACCGAGAATACGAAAATAGCCAATTATAAGGATTTTTTTCACGAATTATTTTTCATTCAATTTTGGTCACACTAGGACAATTTTCTTCCTTGACTAGAAGCAGTCCACGTCAAGCATGGTTAAGTACAAAAGATAAGAACACAATCATAAATGTCAGAAATAAATACTGAATTATTAGTCGTCTTGGCACAGTACATATAGAGACTCAAGGTGATCATAAATTGTTGCTTGTTGCTGTTAAATGGACACAAGTTTCGTAAAATAAAGCTGACTTACCTTTCAGGCATCCATACAGCTCCATTCTCATTGNTTTCGGTGGTGTTGCTTTGGCAAGTGGTGAAACTGGACAACCGCCGACTCTGCTGCACACAGCCTGCCGGCATGTCAACTCGCATGGAAATTTATTCTCAATCAAGAGGAAAGAAGATTTCAGGGTTTATAGATGTCACACTCACAAAATGTCTGCATTGCTAATAATGGGATTTCAAGTAAGGAGTCATCCCAGGTCGACGTGAAAAGGGATGATTTCGGTTTTCGATTTACTGCTATCAACCAACTATCTTTCTCCCTAACCTCAATCCATTGGTAAACATTGCTGGTCTTTGCTATCCACGCACCAGGGTAACTGTATTGCTTTGGCATGTGTAGTCTTCCTCTCCATGCAGCATGTGTTCTGCTCCAAATGGATGAAGCTCTCATTTGCTTGTTTTCCACCCAACCGCTTTGTAGACCAAGAGGCTTGTCACAACCTGTATTGCACAAAGGAAAAATAGAATAAAACATTGAATTATTTTTGCGTCGAACTCTTCCCTGCCAAACGAGGCTTTAACCATTCACCGCGTTAAAGAAACAGTTGATTGTAAGATCTGATTAGATACCAAATGCATAAGAAATCACTGTAAGGGTTCACAGGTTACTGGAGTAACCAAAATTGGTGCCGCGGTAGGGATAGAGAATTATATCTCTCCTGATCCTCAGACCCTTTCTCTCACAAAGCCTCTTTTAATGTAAGTTTGTGAATGGATAGCGATTTTTTTGTTGCTGGGGGCAACCCTACGGGTGGAGTAGCGTTCCCTCAAGGGGGCAGTAGAAATGCTTCTAATCGGTTCATGTTACGGAAATAAGTGCCTCTAGCTTTGAAAATTTAAGGAGGCACTGAACACTATTTATAGAATTTCTATAAACTTTGCCAAAAGCTGCGTCGGTACTGCTGCTCTGATACAATGATTGTAGCATCAACCGATAAAGAGTGGTTATAATGACCTATCAAAATCTAAGTCTTGGAAAGTGCTGGGAACTGTTAGAGCCACCTTTTAAAGTATCTAACTTCAGGTTGAACGTATATAGACAATGACATTAAAAACAGCAAATCATTGTCCTTCTTTAAGGCAAAGCTTAAAACTTCGTAAATAATGCCCTATCTAATTGTTAAATTATCTTAAAATTAGTTTTATATTGTAATACCAATTTTTTTTTATCTCTTGTCTTCTTTTTAATTGTTGTTATGATTTGCAGGGCCCCACTGAAAACCGCCAAGGCGAGTGGGCTCCCTGGATAAATATTATTATTATTATTATCATTATTATTATTATTGTATTATTATTATATTATTATTATTTTACATATGAGAGTTCAATTTGCGATAAGGTTGAAAAACGACTTACTTCCACCAGCTGATGGTTTCTCTCCAAAGTAAGTCATGTGTCTCCTACAGTAGAGGCCGCCAGCATTTCGATATTTTGAACCAATCCATTTAGCATTCGTTGGCAATCTATTGACTCTTAACTGACCGCTGTTACCGCCGTGAATTGTGGCCGCTGACCAATTGCTGTCGTCAAATCCGGTAGTATGCCAGTTTCTTATCGCTTGAGTTGTGCACTTCCATTTGTTGTCAGTTACGATGCCGTTTGCGAACGAAGCGATGAGTCCTGCAGCGCCGCCACTGTTTTTCACATAGATGGCAACGACTTGAAGATTTTCAGGGAAGTAGAAGCTGTAAGAAAATTTTTAAATTTGTTTCAGACTGAAGAACAGCATCGAAAGTAAGCACAACTAAACATATTGAGAAGCAGACCTCAGGACATGCAACTTTTACCTGAAGTGAAACTCAAAAGCAATGGCCATTTCTTCATTACAGATCCCTACACAAGTTATTTTGGAGGCAGTGGCCTCATGGTTAGCGCGCTCGTCTCCGGATCGAGCGGTCCGGGTTCACGCCCTAGCCGGGAACATTGTGTTGTGTTTTTGAGCAAGACACTTTACTCTCACGGTGCCTCTCTACACAGGTATTCAAAAGAGTACCGGCGAATTTGAATTTAATGCTGGGGGTAACCCTGCGATAGACTAGCATCCTATCCGGGTGGAGGAGAAATACTCTTAGTCGCCTCATGCTATATGGCCTGATGGGCCACTTGGTTCGTGTGCAAGACCTTTCCTTTACACAAGTTATTTTATTACCTCACAGGAACATCCCATCTTCCATTGTCCCTTCCTAGGTATCTTCCATTGGCGTAGACCCATGCCTGATCATCTCCAGTAATCAAACCTTCCATTCCTGTTAACATCACACGCGAAGATTTGTTATATTCACTAAATCCTTCTTTGTACTATACAGAAAAAAATCACGACCACTCTGCTGGTCCGACTACGTTGCTACAGCTTTCCTTACTCAAACGCAAAGATAAACGCGATGGTCATTGGACGCAGATGCTATTATGTCTTTGCTCAACAGCTTTCGACCCAAAAATGAAACTTTAAGAGTGCGTAATGAGCTACCTACCACGAGCGGGAGAATTTTCCCATTTCAACTCCCGCGTCCGCCCCCTGCCTGCCCCGTCTTTCCCGCTCGTAACAACAATCTCCTTTTCACTTGAAACGTTCTCCAGAACGCTCCAATTCACTTTAGATAATACACATTGAAGTATGCCTAAGTCGCAAATAGTTAAATTGCAACGTGTGCAGAATGCTGCGGCTAGACTTGTGCTGAACCTAAGAAAGTACCTGCATATTACTCCCGTGCTTTGTATGAACTTCATTGGTTACCAGTACAACATCGTGTTCATTTTAAGATCTTAATTTTTTTTTATGGATTTGCGACAAGTATATCATAGAATTAATTACCATTATGCCTAGATCTATATATAATTTTAGATCAAATCAAAGTTTATTGTTAGACCCTAATAAAGGGAAAATGTTTGTCACTTTAGGTGATAGATCTTTCTCTGCTGCTGCTCCATATTTATGGAGGAGTTTGCCGGCTGAATTACGTGATATTCAGTCATTAGCTATTTCTAAATGTAAGCTG